CAAAACACAGGCTTTCGTATGAACCGTTCAATTTAGCTCCCGCCCCCTAAATTGATACTATCAATAATACGCTGGTTTCTGGCCCTGGACTGCCTGCCTGCTAAAAGCAAGACTAAACTCAAGCTCTGCTGCGCGAGCTTTCGTGATTTTTAGTGGAACCCTTCACATGGCAAGACCGGCCCAGTCTAAGAAAAAATGGCACAGCCTGGAATACTTGTCGAAGAAAAGAAACGGAACATTTCTCTTCTTACTACTTGGGCTCACGATGGCCTACATCCGTGTTCAAACATCCAGTATGTAGTGGCGCATGCAATCCTTCATTGGGATTCACTAGGTATGTTTCAACTGATCACACTTTCACCGGGTGTACTTCTTCTGATCACGAGTCCTGGCCTACTACGTAATCAGCTCATTCTGTGGCAGAGCTCCGTGACTAGCCCTGCTACAGGTTTGGCCTGCAACACCTTCATAGTTGGGACAGCCTTGCCTGTTCCGCAAATGACCGCTGAATGCAAGGCCCTATACACACAGTGTAACATGTCAACATGGCGATGGCTATGGTCGCATTTCGAAACGCAACAAAGTGATGCAACTGGCTTGTACCACCGAGGCTTCATTCTGCAGCACTCTGGAACCTAAAGCCAGGCACACAGCTTGATCAGTAGGCGAAAGTTTTGCCGCCCGATCTCTCCAAACCATTTCAACTCCAGCTATCGGAGATTTGCCACCCAGTCGTCTCCGGCCCCGAATGTGAGTTGAAACAACACTTGGCCCTTCTTCCGTTCGCCCTTGATACGCTCGTTACACCCCAGTGGTGTGTCATGGTACTGCCAGCTCCCATCTGAAAACCTAGCAAACCAACAATCAGCTGGCGAAATGGCTACGTATTCTGCTCCTGTCTTGCTCTCATCCAGACAGTCGTGCAGGGCACTCGGCTCCGCCAGCACCCGCAGTCGCGCGAGAAAGCAACTGCCTCTACTGCAGGTCCTTCTCGAATGGCCCTGGTGAAGGATTCCGATTTAGCGCCGCTCCACGACTGAGCCCCGTCGTCAAACAAGATACAGTAGCGCCCGATGCCCGATGCAACCACAGGAAACAAAAACGGAAGGATTATTGTTTTGGTCCTGCTGCGCCGTAAAGGCATCGCACAAAGCATTAGGCATGTTCCGGTACTTCCTTGACCCGTCCTGCCTGCGTAAAAAATACCCACTTTCTCGTCCATATTAAAGGCAAGGCAATCAAAATCATCAAGGGAATCCAGAAGAGACTGCTCAACACGATGGTCGGACAGGCTGGCCCAAAAAGAGTAGCTTTCGGCAGTAGACGTGCTAGAGCTTGAACTAGCTTCCGGCTGCGGCAATGGTCTCCAGAACCCCCGCACGCGAATCGAGATCCCCATGTGAGCCGGCGGCGGGGGATTTCTTCATGCGTCACATCGACATCAATCGTATGAAGTTTACCGAGCTCCTCTAGGTTTTGGAATGCCCAGAGCCGTCGGTTGCCTGTGTAAGCAAACCACAGGTTAACAATTCCCACAAACAATCATCTGAGGAATGTCGGTCACCTGTATGCGCCCATACCAGAGCTCATCTAGAGTGTGGTCGAGCCGTCTGCCACTTCCGTGTGCGAGTCTCATTGCACTGCAAGCACAGCTGCAGTATGAGCTACACTCTTTGACAGCTCGCCAAAAGTAAACTATGTGAGCACGGCGGGAGTGTTTCCATGCATGCGGCTGTCAGCAGGCCCAACAGCAACAGCAACCTCTTCGTATCTCTTATCCCATATTTCAGCATAGCATACCAACTACTATACTACGTTGAGACCATTTAGAAAATTACCAACTATCCATTAAGAGCTACCGGAAACTCTTGTTGCTGATTCCGGAGAGAGATACGCCGTGGACTGTGACGAAGGAGAAGGACGCCGCAGCCCCTGCTTTTGATGGGACGGCGAACTCGGTGCGGAACCCAGCCGTCTGGTGCTTTACCTTCGTGATTTGCATGTCCGTGAGTCAGCGCGTGTCGGTATCAGTATTTGTGCAGCACAGGATTTTGAATGTGTGTATGTGGCGACGTACCAGTCTCTGTGTCAGTTTGCCGTTGGTATATGTAATGACTCATGCATGTATGCATGCATGCATCCGTATGCATGCTTGGTTGTCGATTTGCACATGCGGGCATTCCATGCGGATACAAACCCCGACCCTCAGGCTTCATGTTCGCGAGAGCTGAGGGCGAAATGCAAGTCCACAGGCTGCAAAACCAAACACCCGCAAGTTAAGTTGGCAAGGGAGACCGTTTGCTAGTACTCCAACACTGGTTCAGCACAGCGGCTGTCCACGGAACCCAAGATTTTCCTTCCATGGGCGCATATCCTTGGATCGCGAAGCATCGTGTCTGGACTGTGCCTCCAGTTTAGTCTTGGATTCTCTACATACGATGGGACCGTGCACAACTTGTACAACCCTATGGGTCTTCTGACAACCTTGATCAAGCGAATCTATACTTTAGCAGGCCAAGCATCCCAAGTCCCAAACAAACTGCTGGGACCCCAGGGTGGCGCAAACGGCATCGTCGTCTCCAGAATAGATCATGAGATTGAGCGTGCCCTTCCTGTGCTCCAGCGGGCGCATTTTGTGCTGTGTTGGGGGCCACTCCTGTTTCAACAATGCCTCCTTGCCTCTTTGCTCTTGCTAGCCGAACTACATACCTGATAATTTTTACTTTCATGATGTAAAGACCCCAGCTTTCTGGGCATGAGTATCATTAGAATGCCCATGTTGCAAGTTATTATAGGTGGTGGCGGCGGCGGAGGTTGCGTCGGTAGCAGTGCAAGAGACGATGACTTGATGCCCGAAAGCCCTGCGCCCTAGCCTGCCCTCTCGTCCCACGAACATCATTATCGGTCGAACTGTGACGATGTTCCAGTCGTGGCTGTTGCCGCTGATGGTGGTGATTGTGACGTTCTGCTTCGTCTGATTATCCACTCTTGCTTCGTGTGGTGGTTTCGCAGGCCAAAACAGCAGCCGGCTGACTTAGAAAAGAGAAAGTGTTGAAAAAATTGGGCGATCCACAAGGCGCATCTTGAAGCTTTGGGCATCACAAGCCATTTCAATTGACGTAATTGGGGTCGAAAGGTCCTTCTCTTGTCGTGGAGGGCAGGTTTCAATGCGACAGACGGGTCTACAGCTTTGAGCTCCATCCGCAGGAACGGGCAATACACAGGCTCTGGGCAACTGGAGGTGCTAGGGTCTCCATGCTTGCATGGAGTAGCGAAAGCCTCCCACAAGTTCTCACAAAGCCAACGACTCCTGCTTTGCTGGAGAAGCCCCTGTACCGACCCAACTAGTGTAACTAGTGACTATAAGGGTATATTTGCGATCTTCAGAATAGCAATCTGTTAAACCCAAGAGTCTGGATCAGATGCTGCCAGTACGGCATCATGGGCTCATTGAGATCTGTCGAATTGTAGTGACGTCCCACTACTCGCGAACAGTCTCCCCACTCGGTGTGCTGGGCGTGAATGGCCTTCTGCACTTCCGGCAAGTTCAAGTATTTCTCCCCAAGGTCACTCGCACATGGCCTGAAAGGCAAAGGCAGGAGGATTTAGACTTAATGTGGATATCATCGTAGACGCACGAGCAGCGACATCAACTCAGCAGGTACTGACTCTCAGAACAAGGCGGGGACGCTGCACAAATTCCAGTGCTCGTGAGGCAACACATCCACACCCCCAAACCTTTCTTAATCGTCAACCTGTACAACCTTACAAACAAAAATAACAGGAACAAATGGTAGTACTGACAATAATAACCATACGAACAATAATAACCATAATAATAGTAATAATAGTAAGAAGAAGCATTGCTGCACCCTCGCATCTTCCCGCCACGGCACTGGTAAGGAGGTGGAAGATCGCCTTTGGCTTGGTTTACCTGGGAGTTTCCGAGATGAAGGGGTACCTCATTTTGGGGCCCTTATAATAAGAATCCTACTAATTAGGGTACTAGCTTAGGGTCCCTTATTTTCGGGAAACCCCTACCTGGCTCATCAACTGGAGCCGCTCCTGCTGGCCCGCAGCTGTTCCATGGTCGCCTCAGGAAAAGCCGGTTTTGGAAGAGCTGTTTTTTTTTTGCGCATTGGCAGTATCAACTCACCCATGAAGGAGGAGGTCTTCAAGTCTATGCAAAACCAGTCCAACGGCATCGGCCTTCCAAACCGGCCTTAACAGCTTCTACTTCTTTCCCGGTCGCACGTTGGGAAGCCCAGGGCATACACGTCGAAGCCAGACAGGATGTTGTCCATCTCAGCTGTGACCTTCTGGCAAGCCTCTGAGGCGGGGAACGTAGTGGCACACTTTGCCGCGTCATACCTCGGCCATGAATCTACGGATATCTACAGTGCGTTGTGGACAGGAGAAAAGGAAAAGACAATTCTTGGCATCATCCCAGATGCTGCATCCACAAGGGAGCGGGCAGCAGCTGATGGCCCCATGCAGTTCCGTACTGACCATAATCTCTGTACATCATGTATGTCAGTGGATTGCCCAAGAAAATCCCACGAAAGGATGGAACATCATCTCGCAGGGACATGACAGGTCTGACAGGTATCGGGGTAACTTGGCAAGCAGGGTTACGGCATGACTTACGTTCGTGGCTTTGGCGTTGCTTCACTGTGACCGACCCCCAGTGCACCTCTGTCAGCAAGTAGCTTGCCCAGCGTCGGCATGTAATGTCCGCCGTAAGACTCTGAGGAGATGTAGAAGTCGTTTCCCTTATATTCTGGATAGCGTTTGAAGAAGCCAAGAACAAATTTGAAGTTGTCTTCTGCTGCCTGATGGTCACCATATTGAATCTCCTTGTCTGCTTTTGAAAATCCGACGCCAACCGGCTGCTCAATGAAAACCATGTTGACGATCTTGTTCCATGCAAGATGGTTCACGGACAGAGTTTTTCCATCTGCTTTGACTCGAAACGGACCCTGCTCGGTCAGGAAGCCAGCCAGCCCACTGCAACCAGGACCACCATTCGTCCAAAGAATCACAGGCGCATGGGCAGCATCTCGTTGCGACTCCACAAACCAGTAGAACATCTGACCTGTGCGGGTCTAGATGTCCGTTCACGAGGATGGGGTGGCTCCTTAGTCCTTGGTTTGCCTCCCCAGTGCTATACTGTTCAGTCTGGGACATTTCCCGCGCTGCTTTTGCATATCTGATGGGGCAACGGATATCTCAAAAGCATTTTGGACCGCGGAAGTCATTCAGGATCTTCGTCTTTCCCATCACATCTCATCACTATCATCGTCATCACCATCGCCATCAGCGCCGACATACTCGATAATCAAAAGAACTGCCGGCATCATCATCAACATCTGCATACTGCGTACGCGTACCATCTGCGATGGCGGCAATCCTCCCCAAACTTGTAGTTACGGCATGCGCTCAAAGACGAAGCCCACCACAAACAACTAATGTAGGACAAATGTGGCACCAAAAGGACTACTCAAGCACCAGGGCATGGCGCCGACACCACTACGAATAGTCCCAGCGCACCCGCAATGCAGGCTGCGACGCCCCCCCCTGGAGCTGATCTGGGAAACGCAACAAGTGTAATCTTGCTCGTGTACCACTATACCAGCGACACCATTTGCTCTTGTGTTTAAACGTCGAGCATTCAACCCCACAAGACATCTAAACCACAAGCCCTAAACCCCCAAACCCTCATGTTGAAGCCCTTCGCCCCAGCCTTCGCCGACGTCAATGTACCCTGAGAACATCCGAAACTCCACACTCGGTGCGCCAGGGAGGTCGGTGATCTCATCCTGTACCGAGCAGAAACTCCTATGTCATAACAGCCCTACAACATGCAATAACACACACATATGTACACATACATAGATGAATGTATGCATACACATACCCAACATGTGTATGTGTATATACATATAAACATGCGTAGGTTGATTCTTTATCCATCCATGCACAAATCCATCGATCCATGCATGACGTATCTACCTACCTACCTACCTACCT